GGGCGAGAGAAAGACCTCTGCATATCAGTGTGTGTGTATGTATATGTATATGTATATGTATATGTGTATGTGTATGTGTATGTGTGTGTGTGTGTGTGTGTGTGTGTGTGTGTGTGTGTGTGTGTGTGTGTGTGTGTGTGTGTGTGCGTGTGTGTGTGTGTGTGGCCATTGTGCATGCACATGTCTCTATCTGTGTGTGAAGGTGATGAGTGAGATTCAGTCCCAAAGGGGGATCACGTCACCACGGAGATAACAACCATCGCCTAGCAACCTCAGCCCTCAGGCCCACTGACGGAAGTGCAGAGTGAAAAGTGATCCTCTTTAAAAACAAGTGATAATAATGGATATTTTCAAGCAGACCTGAAATAAACATTTCTCTTTCTTTGATGTCCTTAAAGGACACATCTAATGATGTATGAGTTGAAAGAAAAAGACAAATTAATACAAGTATTTTCTTTGGAGCCACAGACTGATGTAACCTAATCCTCCATACCATATATCTCATTTGTGGTTCAAAACATGTTAACAACATATCAATGAGCCACATTGTTGCCAGGTAAACTGTCCTGCTGCGATAAATGACTTACTTGCACACCAAATATGTAGCTGAAAATCTTCCCGAGCAAATTAACTTTGGTTAAGAAATACTACTATAATATAAAATAAGAATATCTTTGGGATTAACAAAATAAACAAATTAGCTTTGTGCTCAATGCTATACTGTATATAGGCAGGGAACTTGTGCATTCTTGGTTTTAGCCTTTTTCATTTGTCGATAATCACCAAAGAATATAGAATATTGTCAGCCTTATTCTTTAATAAACACTTAGCTCGGATCCCAGTGTGAAACAATCCTAATAGTAAATGTATATCATTGATGATCAATGTATGTAATTGTACTTAAAATCCATACCACATTAATCCCAGAGCTGTAAATTATGAAGAAATAAAAGCAGGTTGAAGCATTTAACGTGTATTTTGTGTGGTCGCTCTAAATGACGGCCCTAATGTGAGATGTCCTTTATAAAGGGAGCCTGTTACTGGCTTTCACTCTGCTCCCAGCCAACAGCGTCCAGACTGAGCTCATTTCAGTCGTGTTACTAGACAAATTATTGTCTTCCTGCTAGACACCCCTGACAAGGCACGTCAATACTGCAGGTGCAGTTGGGCCTGAAATTGCTTTGTTTAAACTTGTCAGGTTGGAATGGAGATTTTAAAAGAAGGATCTATCCTCATTTGCACGGCTAAGGCGCTGTGCAAACCTACAGAGATTATCCCCTCAAACTGCAGTGTGTTTTAGAAGAAGAATCTCTTTTAGGATCTGAAACGTGATGATTTGATATCTTGGCTTTTTAGATCTGTCAATAAATGAAACGCTCATTTCCTTTGATATTGTTTCTGGGCTTTCACATTTTTGTGTGGGCTTTTCTCCCCTATGTTACATGTCAAAAAGGGAATGTGATTCCAGTGCAAATTGAAACTAGAGTAAACCAAATTTGTCTTTAAGAATTTTCAAAATAATGAACTCCATGCTTCTTATTTTATATACAGCAGGTGCTCATAATGTAGAAAAAGGTTACTTATCTATACAATGCATATGTTTTTGCCATGACAATTTTCCTGCGTTGGATAACACACAGTCTGACATTTCACCAGCGTACAGTGCACACACAGCGCTGACAATTCAATTGACATATCAACCTTCTTTTTCTACTGACATTTAAACTCATTTCAATGTTTACACTTTGACTGACACTTAAAATCCTTTAAGGTCTCAAGTCATCTTTTAAAAGCATAAAGAAATGGCTCTCAGCTCCTCTAACTGTCTCTGTTAATAAACGATTAACTTCTACTTGGCTGCAGTGCTTTAAATTCAGCTTACACTTTAACTGATATTGCTATTCGACATTTTATATACTTGAACTGACAGTAATTTATGTAGGACTTATATTTGTATCAACATTTTTTTAAATCTCCCTTCAGCCATTTTTATTGAAATGATAGTTTATCCAGTGCTTAAAGATAGGGACAGTTTAACAGTGAGTTTGGCACTTTGGGCTTTAGTTTTGTACTTTAACTACTTCAGCTTTATGTTTCAGCTTTGAATATTCAGCAGCACCAACTTGTCAGTCTTATCCTAAGGTTGCCTACAATTTCGCTATGCATATTTTTACACTCATACCTACATTTAACAATGTAAAAATGTATATTTGTGTTTGCTCATTTTCACAGGTGTCAAAATTGGTATCAGTCAAAAGAATGTAAGGCATGGCCGCTGTGGTAAAACACTCCTAATTCATAGATTATTCCGGCTTGAATAGTCTTTCCCCCCAATTTGTTCGGAGGACAAAGGGCAATGATGCACATTCCTGAGAGCAGCAGCGGAGAAGCATTCCATCCACTGTTTGTAATTGTTCGCAGCTGTATGCAGAGTCTGCTTCCTATTTGTCACATTCACGGGTCAAGCGTTACCATATTCTTCAAAATCTCTCGAAAAATAGAAGTAAAGCTCCAGAAGGAAGAGTGTTTATTTGAACTTACTGCAGTAGGTGAAGCAGTGCAGCTGCTAGCCTCCCTACACCTCTGCTATCTTTCATCCTCTGCGCTTTGTTATTGCGAGGATGTACTCGCCATTTATCTATCTGAGCTGAGGGCGGTAAATGCGTTTGGTCAAGATTTTCCCGCTATGTTGCAGCGCGAGAGGTGTCCATTGTGTGAAAGATGTCTCTTCTTCGAGTTTTAGCATAACAGTATTGGAGCATCTTGGGTTGGAATAACATTTCTGAATGCTGATTTGAAGCTTTGCAATAGCCTACAGGCAATACACACACCACACAGTGTCCTTACCAAGCCACAGTGGGGTAATCTTACTTTTTTATCAAATAATTGAGGGATGGCAGCAGTATGACGGTATGTTCGAATCAATCTTTGTTACAGAAGATTTGGAAAAATCTAAAATAGTAGGAGGAAAACGATCACATCACAAACTGTCCTTTCCAATAACAGCGCTCTCCCTGTATGAGCTTCTCCAGAGCCACAATATTGAAAATAGGTGTGTGTGTGTGTGTGTGTGTGTGTGTGTGTGTGTGTGTGTGTGTGTGTGTGTGTGTGTGTGTGTGTGTGTGTGTGTGTGTGTGTGTGTGTGTGTAAGAGGAGTGTATGTGTGTTTGTACAGGTGCCAAAAAAATTCTGCTCTCAGCACAATACGTGCTTGTGCTGAGAGCAAATGCAAGTGGTTCTCCACTTCAGAACAGAGAGGCACCAGAGCAGCTTTATTGTTTAAAATCAGCGCCTGTAACAAAGCATGTATCAGGCAGACAGCAGGAACACTGCTTTTATAGTTAGGAGTTGTATCCCGATCGACTGAGACCGACCTTTCCTTCCAAAATGGACCAAAAACACCGACATGATTTGATTTGTTAAACTCTTGTGGTGCTAAATTGTGTTTTTTTTTAATGTCCATTGTTTCAAAGGGTGACAACATGCAATACAGATTCCTTCTGAGAAACTGACATCAGCTGGGTCATAAAACCTCAGTCATCATGTCCAAGTAAATCCCTTTGCCCAAACCACAAAATTACAGCTTCTAAGTCTGCGGGCAGGGGAATGTGAGTGAAGGTTTTTCTTGTGGACCTTGGGTATGTTTTCAGGAACCACAGACCTAAAGGATATCTGCTGCAGGTAGAGGGCGCTGTAGCTCCTAAAGTCTCCGTTTGGAAATGTTCTTGGTAGTTCTGCAAATAAATACTGTTATTTGTCACCAGCTTGAATATGAGAAACCGCAGTAATATCTGGGCTCAGCAATTCAAACGTTTGGATTCATTTTTTGCTGCACTACCTCCTCTTTCATGTGTTTTATGTTCAGTTATAGGTCACAATGAGAACATGAGACAAAAGACCTATTGAAACAATGTGATGGTATGTGAGATGCTTTGGTATTTTCTTGTGTGATAAACATCGCCCTCTCTGTTGAAACTCATCTTTTCTGAATTAGACCCCCTGGATTAAACACAGATAGACATTTGGTACTGTTTCTGCTTAGTTTTTCTTTTTTTAAAAGCTGCACTTTTACCATTGTACTACTTTGAGCATGGTGTTTGCTTACATAAATAAGTGTGTGTGTATGGATGATGAGCTCTATGCTAATGCAGTGTTGTGCTCTGTAGTGTCGCCCCCTCTTAGGAGCTGAAACAGCTGCCTGGGCTGCTTTGCCTCCAGCTACTTCCAAATTGTCCTGCCATTAAACTATTATATGTTTACAACCACAGCACCACTAGGTGCTAGACGCCCTGATGATCTTCCTCTGTTGTAATGAATCATTATCCCCGTTTCTTATTGCCCAGCTTTTGACACGCTGTAATTAGCTGTGATACAATTAGACGCACTATCTTAACCGAGCTGTAAAGGTAGGCACCATCAAAATGGCCTGATATATATGATATGTTAGATTGATAATATTATTCATGCACATATCCATGCTGTAGTTTCACATTACATTGAATGGACACATCTACTTATTCTAAATCTGGCATAATATGCAGTGGTGGAAGGAATACTCACTTTACTGAAGTGAAAGTTCCAAGTAAAAGTCATGCATTCAAAGTCTTACTTAAGTGAAAATACATAAGCATTGACATCAAAATATACTTATACGTATTTACTGGCGCATTTCAGAATCATAAATATTACTTGATTATGAATTAATGTGTTTAACGCTAATTTGATTACTTTCTATATGGTTGCATACTTTATGTACTGCTGGAAATTCAGGTTAAAGTCTGAAATCTGAATCTATAAAGAAACTAAAAGGTGTCAAATAAATGCAGTAGAGTAATGTATTAAAGTAAGTACAGTCCACCAGTGATAATATGTTAGTATATTTGCATCTGAATTATGCCCCTTGATAACTAGAATGTGTGATTTTGCATAAATAAGATTGTTGCTCCTCTTTAACATAAGCCACAAATGTGCCAACAGTTTTTTTTCATTCCTGCTCTCAGTCTGCTGAGCTGAACTGTGGGAGAGGAGAGGAGCACGAACACATTGATCTTATTTGGACGGGCTTTTGTCTGGGACACATCCAAACCCAAACAGCCAGGGGAAGAACCACAACAGGCTGTAAGTAATTCTCTTGCAATCCAGACACACTCTGCATAGGTTACAGACAGAGCAAAGCCCCTTGTGATATTCAAAGCACTGTTATTTTTGTATTCAGAGTGTAATGATTTATTTAACACTCTCCCATGGTTTCCTCTTCTCTTCAGTCATGATACTGTTATTTAACGACATTTAACTCCATATATGCCTCTTCAGACTGAGTTAGTCGTGTGCCAAAGAGGTGATTCTTTAAAAAAAAAATCAGCCCAAACAATCCCATCTGGTTTATGTTATGACAATACTGCTCTAAGACGCAGCTTGCATACAACTGGACTAGTTAGGAGCTTTCAAGAATTGGACACGTTTACTGAATACATGTTTCTTATTAACTACGAATACAGAATAATACTGTACTTTAGTGTTTTCACATGCTCAAGATGTACCTATTTCACAATAACTGGAGTCTGTTTACAGAACAGTCTAGAAAAACAACACTGAGTAAGACAGACAACATGTACTGTATTGCTGCTGCTCTTCCCAGTGTAGCGCACAATTGTCCATTGCTTTTAATTTCTATGGTGATGTTGCGTATGTTTTCTTCTTTATACAATAAATGGATGTTATTCTGGTATTCTGTGTTTACTGTATACTGAAAACTATCAATTTCTGCAGTTTTTTGTAAAAACATCCCTGAATGCTGCTGAACCAAGCAAGAGGATTGATTGATTGATTGATTGATTGATTTCAAACAAGTAAAATAAATAATTACAAAACAAAACAAATGTTGCAGTGCATAGTCATGTAAGAGAAATAAAAACAAAAAAAGGACATTTGCAACAACAGCAACAACAGCATTAGCAACATAAACAGTGCCACATCTAGTGTTCGAAAAGGAGTGAGAAGAAGCATAATTTATTTAATCTCACCCCCTTGTCCCTAAATGATTTATTTATAATCTATAATCTGCAATAATTATACTTTTTTTGCATTATTATTGTTATTATTATAATTAATCTGCTTTACCTGTTGATTGAAATATATACACATATATGCACACATACATACTCACACATATACACATACACATAGGATGGACTGCTGATCGACTAATGGAGGAAAACAGTCAAATAAAAAGTACTGTAGGGTGAAAATGTGGCAAACTACTGGGTAGCTGTGTCTTTATCTGCCATCTGTTTACAATAAGGCAGAAGAAAATACAAATAAGAATCGCAGAGCCAAGTTTACGCTCAACTGGCTGCGCAGTAATAACATCAGATATGCAGTCCTGCAGCCTCATGGCTTATTGGCTGATTTGGTTTAGACTGGATGGCTCTGTTCAGCTGCATCCAATAAGCTCTTAACCAGATGCTTTAAACATGATTAAGGTAAAGTCATTAGTACTCCTGTGTTGTAGACATTTGTTTTCAGTGGAAAAGGTTTGCTCATAAGCAATAAAACACACACTTAATTACATTCACTCAATGATCTAGACTGGCTAATGAAAGCAAAATGTATTTGACACTATATTTTAGCATTTGCTTTTATCAAATAAATGTCACATTGCTCCTTCATTATGGTATAACCTTTTAAATAACAACTTCATCACTGGATTTACTAGGAAACCTCCATATTTTCATACTAACCCTGAATCCAGTACAGACCCATGGGTTATCCATTCACTCAATTGTGTTTATATTTGACTTATTCTTGACTCTTGTCTTATTTGGTTCTTAACAGATTTGCATTAGTTATACTTAATATCTTGACTGTTGATTGTAGGCTCAACTCATCTTTTCACATACAGAAAATAATCACATTAGTGAGTTTACCCAACTCCTAAAATAGCTTAGAAACTGTTGCCTCATTGTTTTTGTACATTTGAGCAAAGTAACATGTTTTTGAGTAGAGGCAAACTACAAAAGTAAGTTTCACCAACTCAAAAAATTCTGAAGTTTACCAAACTCTTAAAATTGTTTCAAAATTGTTACCAAATTTGTTTTGTATGTTCCCAAAGAAACAGTTTTTACAGTGCATGTATGTGTACTATAGCAGTTAGTGTGTTTTACTGTGATTTCAGTTTTTGTATTAGCAATATATTGGAACCCAGTGAACAGTGTTTTTGTATTGATATACTTCTTGATCCAAAAGATTTGAGTATGTTTTTGAATATGTTTTTCAAAGTAAATTCAGTGACTCATTCAACTCGATGAAAAATAAAACAATGGCACCATGTCACCAGGTACCTAAAATGTGATCCAACCTGAGGGCATCACTTGTTTTATTAAACATTCCTGGTAATAAACTCATACAGTTGAATCATTGTGTATGAGTCACTCAATGTTTGCAGAAATCCTCTCTTTATTATTGCCTTCTTCTTTTCCCAGGTGTCTTATTGAAAGAGGATCAACATGCTCGGGGCGAATCACATTTAGTGCTCTGCTGTAGGATGTGATTGCTGATAGATCAGGCTGTATTAGGTAACAAAAGACTTGAATTAACTGGCTGTCAAATCAATAGCACTCTCCTCTCCCTCTATCTGTCTGTCTGTCGCACTCATTCTGCTTCTTCTTCTTATATAATTCTAAATATATAAAATCGGTTTTAAACATCAAATGACTAGTGCACTCAAATATTTCGGGGGATGCAAGACATTAAACCAAATAGAAACCCAGAAAAAACACTTATACTTCAATCACTATTATTATTAGTAGTAGTAGTAGTAGTAGTAGTAGTTTTACCTTCAGTGTGTCTCAGAAATACTCGATTCAGTCAGAGTGAACATCTGTTGTGAAAGATATAGGGCTCTAAATAAATAAAAAAGTGCCAGGTTTTTTGGTAGTAGCCTTTTGAAAGGTGCAGAAGAATAAATGGAACAATGTCTACCTGTTACATCCCATTGTCTTAACAAGTAAGTAAACAAGGTAAATGAAACTTTCTTTATGCAGACCACAACTTTACCTTGAACATTTTCTTGCTAAATATGTGCTCGCTCCACACATTTGTGATTTTGCAGGGCCCACTGTTGTTATTTGGATTATTTATGCTTCGTAAAACAGATCGATGGCTGTTTGAGATAACAGATCACCTCCCTCGCTCTCTGGAGGATTGTTGTAAAGGCTTCAAATGAATACATAAACATGTTCCTTTTCCTTACACAATAGCCATCATTCCTATTGCAATGCATGAAATCCATGTAGCAACATACATGCGTCTCTTGTTTCCTCTATATCTGAATGACAGATGATGTGAGAGTGTAGGTGTGTGTTCAGTTAGTGCGCTGAGTGTGTATCTGTGTGCATGCCTGTCATTGAGTGTCAGTGTGCACTTTTTAATGTCGGAACAGACTAAGCCTGCTTATTTCTGTCAGAGTCGACAGCCTGTTGGGTGAGAATAATCTGGAGCTGTCAGTGTCTCTGCATAGCTCCAAAATGTGTACGACCTTGCTACAAAAGGAGACTCTTTAATAAGAAGGTCCCTCTCCTTTTTTTGGTGATGCAAAAAGTTGTCCTTAGTCATTTTCATTCATTTCTCAACTCACTCCCAGTGGGAAAATGTGGCATTAATGGCTCATTGAAAAATCTTATTAGGCAACATATTGTGGATAGAAGACTTCGTAATTGAATGTGTCACTTTGCTTATCCTCTAAGACTTACAAAAGTGCTCAAGGACGTTCTGAAAGGGATTTACAGCAGACATCATGAAACTGCATTTTACTTGTTTTAAGAAAAACTCTTTAAAGGAACCAGACTAAATCCAATCCAATCCATTTTATTTCTATAGCACATTTAAAAACAACAGAGTTGAACAAAGTTCTGTACATCAACAACTGTATAAAAACATAGCATAAATACATAAAAAACAGACAGGACATGAAACAAATGTAAAACACGAAACAATGAAACCAGATCAGAAGCCACAGACTGAAAGACTCTCCTACATGACGTAAAAGCAATACAAAACCCAAATGTAAAAGCACAAGTGTCATACCTGGCCTGTAAATGCCAGGGAAAAGAAGTGGGTTTTTAAACGAGATTTAAAAACAGGCAGAGTTGGAGCAAGTCTAACCTGGAGGGGCAATTCGTTCCATAACTTTGGAGCTGCAACAGCAAAAGCTCTGTCTCCTCGCTGCTTAAGCCTTGATTTAGGGACGACCAGAAGTAATCTGTCAGCCGACCTCAGTGACCGTGTGGGTGTGTATGGTTTTAAAAGATTTGCCAGGTACGGTGGGGCTAAACCGTTTAAATGTGCTGCTGGGTTAGTCAGCTATTGGCACTGACCAATATCCAACAATGTTCATAGTCACAATACATTATAATCTAACAACAGATATACTAATGCATTCAAATCAGATTATAAATTATTCCAAGGGGTCATTGGTGGCTTTAAGTAAAGTAATGAAGTTCCTGAGGTATACGCAGATATGGTAAGATTCGAATCCAGTCACAAGTCACTATAAATGTTGTTTTTCCTTGTTTGTTTGTACTCCCCCCGCCCCCC